TTGATTCCAGGTGCTCGGCTTACGTCGGCTTGATCTCTCCAACAACAATCTCACCTCCTTCGAGGTAGCGCCCAACTGCCTGCGATCGCTTGAAGCACTCGATCTGAGTGGAAATCATTTCACTGTGGTGAATTTTTCAAAAATTATCAAATTATCATAATTTTTTAAAAATTATCAAATTATCATATCAAATTGTTAGTTTTACCACAAATTCCCATTAATGGGCTGTTATTTTGATTGGGTCACCTTTCCGTTCTCTGGGCGCTGAGAAGAAGGATCACCACCATTACCCAGTCGTAAAGCTCAGGCTCGGGATAATGACACTTGGGGTCATAAAAATCACGCTTAGCAAGTCTTGGTGATGGACAATCTAAAGTTTTTTTTTCAAGGTGCCCACTTCACTATGGGATTCATTGGAGTCGCTGAGTACGCTGGATATCTCAGGAAATCCACTCAACTGCGATTGCTCGTTGCAGCCATTCTCGACGATAGCCAAGCAGGAGAAGTACAGCTTCCTGAACCAGGTAATCTAAGCCCTATCAACCACAGCTTTTCCGATGTCAAGCTTACTTTATCTTCTCTGAGGTGCTCCAGAACTCGGCGCCATGTTTTTTTTCTCATAGCGGGCTCGGATTTTTGTTGAATTTGTGTTTTGGTAAAATCCAACGAATAACCGTCTTTGAACATTTTTTCCTCCCTGTATTTCCTATTTTGAGCTGTCTTAATGATTGTAAAGGAACGATGGAACAATTTAGAAAAAAATCCTTTTTAGAAAAAAAAAACACTAATTCCCAGCCGTTCATGCTAAATCAAGTAAAATTTTACTGAAATTCAATCCCTATAAAACACCAGCATTTGCAAAGCTGACACTTTCTGTTCCTAAACATCACTAACAATGGCCTATTAGTGCGTTTTCCAGCTTCCCAAGTACACATTCAGACTTCGAAGATTATTTGGAATTATATTAAGTAATATTGAATAAAATTGATCTTCTTCACCAAGTTTGCAAATCATTTAGGGTAAAACCTTCTGTGCATCGCCACCCAATCGAGCAGGAAAAAACCTTCTTTGAGCTGAAAGAAGACTTATGCAAGTCAAGCAGTTGGGGATTGGGCACCCTGATTCTCCTTGTTGTCGTCTCTGCCGGATGTGAGTGTTTTTCTTCCTTTTTTGGCAGCAATAAAAGTTGGTAATAACTACCTTTTTTCCGAGGGCGGA